TCTTCAAAACCAGACCTTGCAAATCACCAACACCGACCAGATGTCAACAAAACCAAAAGATAGTTCTCTGATAAATAAAAAGGAAGATTGAGCACTCATGATTTTGTGATCTAAAAGTGAGAACCCTATCCAACCCATGTTAAAACATATCACACCTCTTAACAACAGACGGAGCATAAGACACTACCTTGTTAGTGAATTCAACGTCTCCATATTGAATTCAGAATCACCATTAGAGAAGTCATTGAAGGGTTTCCTTTCATAATGAAAATAAAGTCGCAAAACCTCGATTGTCGACTTCTCCCAACAGTAAGATAAATCGCCTCCATAATCACCTCGTACAAATCTCACAACTTGAAAACCTGGATTCGCAAATCTGCAATGATCTCGTGTATATCCCAAATACTTTTAGTTATGCCAAAGTGACGTGTTTATCAAAAATCAAGGAGACATCAAACAAAAAGATATGCGAATCGGGTAATAAGATTTTGTCCATTTATTAAAATCGGGTAAAACCACTTTAATCGGGTAAAACCGCTTTAATATAAAGCATATCTTAAAAAATAATGCAGTGGCGAAGATCTGTAAATACTTCCAAAAATCAAGGGGACCTCAAAAAAATACCTTGTGTTTTCATAGTATAGATTTTCTTTTAATTAATAGAAAACACTTCTGCTGATCATTTTCCTTTCATCTATTTTATCTTTTCCTGGTAAAGATCATACACTTAAAAACAACTAGGTGGACGGCCCGCACGCCTGTGCGGACATTAATATAATCTATATATTGCATGAATAAAAAATAATATAAATGTATAAATATATTGTAACTTTCTTTCTCTTTACATAGATACTCTGTTTTTAATATATTTTTCTATCTTATTGAATTCGTTTCTCCTTGTATTTTTCACACATTCGTTTTGTTTCTTATGTATCTCTCTTTGCATTATTTTTGTATGTCTTTGTACACCTCTCTTGCTCTCTTTTTCTTTCTCTCTCTCTCTCTTAGTTGATCAAATAATCTCAAAATCTCTCAAATTTACATTCACTCTCTCACAATCACCTATATTCATTCTCTTACCCTTGTCCTTAATATGATCCTCAATATTTCACTTTAAAACTCTTTCTATCTCTCTTTCGTTATAAAATTTTCACCAGATTTTGTTAAATCTTCAAAACACTTTCACATAGTATTAATAAATGATTTCAGAATCTATCTCACTTATATTCAATCTCTCACTTATATTCACTTTCATCTTCATTATGATCATAACCGACTCTTTTTTTTTTTTTTTGAACAACATCATAACCGACTCTCTAATCCTTATCATCACCATATCTCCCTCTCTTTCTCCCTTTCTTACATATTTTTTTATTTAGAATTTAATATAAAATCACAATTGACTAACCAAAAAAATTCATTATCAAATTCTCTCCAATCTTCACACTATCTTATCAAACATTGATTCATTTGACCAAGATTTTCATTGAAAAAATAAATATCTTATTATTAATTTTGCTTTTTTTAATTACTTCATTACATACATATTTTAAGTAAATCTAAATAACTGTATTTCAAAAAAGTAAATTTTATTAAATAATTATATAACATAAAATATCTTAATTCGTAAATGATGTGATGTCATTATTTTAGACATAGATTAATATAAACATGAGATTCAACAGTTTTAATGTATCAAAATAACATGTTTCTAGTTGTATAAGTTTTGTTATAACTTTGTTATCATATATTTTAAAAGTTTATTACACTGCAAAAAATACTTATCATTATTTTAAAATAATTTATTTTAAATTTTTATTTGCGTTATATTTTTCATCTTCAACATTAAAATTTTTATAACTTATCATTTATATTTATCTTCCTTTCTCAACTTTTCTTTATGTTGTATAAACACCTAAAAATAATTAGTTTAGAATTATATTAATACGTAAAAGTTATTTTGGTATACAAATAGAAAATTATGTATGTAAAAATACAAAATAACGAAGAATACAACAAAAGCTGTTATTATTATTCACTCATGTTTTTATTTATGTCTCTTTTCTTTTTTTTTCTTATTAAAAATAAACATGCCAATTTTATTATACTTAAAGCTATATGAATTATATGAATAGAATATTAACTCTAGTCTTGTATTAATATAATGTTTTGATTTTTTGTAATTTTATATTATAATAAAAATTTTCATTGTATAAATTTTGTTAACACTTTGTTATCATATATTTTAAAAGTTTATTACACTGAAAAAATACTTATCATTATTTTAAAATAATTTATCTTAAATTTTTATTTGCGTTATATTTTTCATCTTCAACATTAACAATTTTATAACTTATCATTTATATTTATCTTCCTTTGTCAATTTTTCTTTATGTTGTATAAACACCTAAAAATAATTAGTTTACAATTATATTAATACGTAAAAAATATTTTGGTATACAAATAAAAAATTATGTATGTACAAATACAAAATAACGAAGAATACAACAAAAAGGTTTTATTATTATTCACTCATGTTTTTATTTATGTCTCTTTTCTTTTTTTTTATTATTAAAAATAAACATGCCAATTTTATTATACTTAAAGCTATATGAATTATATGAATAGAATATTAACTCTAGTCTTGTATTAATATAATGTTTCGATTTTTTTTTTAATTTTATATTATAATAAATTTTTTAATTTTTTCATATTTTTTAAAATGAAATACCATATAATTTTCTGTTTTAAATATAAAAATACTTAAATAATTTTTCAAAGTGGTAACTCAACTATACTATCGACATTTATCTCTGAAAAATGATAGAATATTTTTAAAATATTACATTTGACTGTTTGCATTCATTGAACATATTTTAAGAATACATATATACAGTGAGTGAGTATAAAAATATTATTAATTTTCTGTAATGTACGATATTTTATCCACTATTAATAGAAAAAATTTAAAATCGTTCATATACTTATTTCTATAATATAATATGTATTTATATGTATATTCGAAATTTTATAATGCAATATGTGATATTTAATTGTTTCTATAAACAAATTCTATTAATCCTATGTATTTAAGATGATTAATTGTTTGTTTGGTAATATATATTAGATTAGGTAATTCTAGGATTAGTTTCCTTTTAAAAAATGTAATTAAATAAATAAAAATTCAAATTCCAACAACCAATCAAATTAAGAGAATTAATTCTACATTGCACCTATAAATGACACGTAAGCAAAATTCATTAAAGTGACTTCTCTTTTATTTTTTTTTAATATATAGGGGGATTTAGCACATTAGCTAAAGGGAAAATTCCTTAAAAATACACCAACTGAGTTTCTTTTGCTAAAAAAATACACCAACTTTTTTGACTTCCCGAAAAATACAAAGAGTAATTTTGGTTGTCCACAAAATACATGAACTTTTGAATTTTGAAGTTTTCACACCTCGATTTTAACAGCGTTAACTTTGATTAACAGAACATTTAGACGCCGTTAGACGACGTTAACTCTAATTCAAAAGTTCATGTATTTTGTGGACAACCAAAATTAGTCTGTGTATTTTTCGGAAAACCAAAAAAGTTCATGTATTTTTTCAGCAAAGAAAATTTAGTATGTGTATTTTTAAGGAATTTTCAAAAATATACTAAGGTGAAAAAGACATTGATTTTTTTGTTTGACTGAAAAATGTAATTTTTGAATATATTTGTTCATATTGAGGAGGGTTTTTCTAGAGTGAGTTTGGATCTATAATTAAAATATGTGTAAAATACCAGTAATTTTCGGATATGTATCATGTAATAGAGAATGTGTTTTTGTTTGGGTCTTTGGGTCGGGTTTGGGCCGATTCTTTTCGGATCTAAGATATCCGGATCTAAGAACCGGCCCAAATTCGACTCAAAGAACTGAACAAAAACACATTCTCTTCCACATGATACATATCCAAGAATTACCAGTTTTTTCCACGTATTTTAATTATAGATCCGAACTGATCCTAGAAAAACTGGTGTCAATATGAACAAAATGAACAAAATATAAAGAAGCAAAAAAAAAACACATTATTCATATTAATACACACATTGTTCAAAATATATTAAAATACGTGATTATTAATATGAACAATGTGTTTTTTTGGCTTCTTTATATTTTGTTCATATTGAGGCCGGTCTTTTTAGGATCAGTTCGGATCTATAATTAAAATACGTGGAAAATACAGGTAATTTTTGGATCTGTATCATGTGGAAGATAATGTGTTTTTGTTCAGTTCTTTGAGTCGAATTTGGGCCGGTTCTTAGATCCGGATATCTTAGATCCGAAAAGAATCGGCCCAAACCCGACCCAAAGACCCAAACAAAAACACATTCTCTATTACATGATACATATCCGAAAATTACAGGTATTTTACATGTATTTTAAATATAGATCCAAACTGACCCTAGAAAAACCGGCCTCAATATGAACAAAATATATTCAAAAATTATATTTTTCAGTCAAACAAAAATATCAATGTCTTTGTCACCTTAGTATATTTTTGAAAATTCCTTAAAAATACACATATTAAATTTTCTTTGCTGAAAAAATACACGAACTTTTTTGGTTTCCCGAAAAATACACAGAGTAATTTTGGTTGTCCACAAAATACATGAACTTTTGAATCAGAGTTAACGTCGTCTAACAGCGTCTAAATCTTCTGTTAATCAGAGTTAACGCCGTTAAAATCGAGGTGTGAAACCTTCAAAATTCAAAAGTTCATGTATTTTGTAAACAACCAAAATTACTCTGTGTATTTCTCGGGAAGTCTAAAAAGTTGATGTATTTTTTTAGCAAAAGAAACTCAGTTGGTGTATTTTTAAGGAATTTTCCCTTAGCTAAACATCTTGGACTTGTTATTCCAAGCCCAATATTACTCATTTCCAACCCAGGCCTTATACTAATTAAAAGAAAAGTGTGTACATCTTTTGGATGTCAAAAACTAAAAACTTCAATCAAAACCAAGCTGGAATCAAATACGACCGTTGAATCTGGATGTGACTCCCAAATCAGAAACCTCTGTTTTTGGATATCGCCATGGTCATCTTATCCCTCGTTTCTTGTTCCGTTTCCCTCTTCTCACCGCCTATTAGTCTCCGGCTTCATCTCCCTCGTGTTACATCCCTCTACTCCCATGGAAGCTTCCCTGCTTCTTCATTTAAAACTGAGCTACGACCGTTGCTTGTCTGCTGCTTAGATCGTCGAGACACCGCTCTTATTCACCGATGTAACTGCCTCACTTCTACGGTTGATGGCCAAACTCAAATAGGTAGGTGATTTTTTTGCACTTTATGCATCTCTCTCTCTGTGATGCATATTCGCGAACACTTGGTGTGCGTCTTATAAGTCTCTCCTTCTTCTTTTCCAGAGTCTCTGTTTTCGCTTTTCCGAGATATTGGGTTTGCAGAAGAAGAAACAGTGATGATTCTGGCGAAGAACCCAGATGTAAAGTCGACGCCTTTGGATAAGATCAGCGCTCGTGTCGCTTCTCTTCAGTCTCTGAAACTCGATGGCTTTGCCCTTCAAGGTTTGATTGCAAAGTGCCCTACTTTATTAACCTCAGAAGAGTTAGATCTCGTTATCACATTCTTAGCTGATGAGCTCGAAGGAAGGCTTGACCCTGAGCTAGTGGAACGCATACTCGCTGTGTCAGACACTTCTTTCTTGCTTAGTTTTAATCAGAAGGTGAGGTTACTTATCCATCATGGGATCCCAAAGGAAAAGATCTCTCACGTATTGAGCAAAGTGTATTTGAGTAAACTCATGTATCAGAAATCAGTTGAAGACATTGAGAGATTGATTAGTTACTTGGAGCCTTTTGGTGGAATCGGTATCATTGCGAGGAGACCAGTTATCCTCAACAGTGACTTGGATACTCAGTTGATTCCTAGGGTTGAGTTCATTAGGAATCTCAGCGGGGAAGATGACTTCGCCACTGGAACTGTTCTACGTAGACTCCCTGCTATACTGAGTTACAGTGTTGACCATATGAACAGCCACGTTGAGTTTCTAAAGTCTTTTGCTGGCTTGACGAGCGAGCAAGTGTTTAAGATTGTTCATGTGTTCCCTAACGTGATCAGCACTAGTAAAGAGAGGAAACTGAGGCCAAGGATAGAGTTTCTGAAAGAGTGCGGTTTTGATTCCCCGGGCATGTTCAAGTTCTTGAGTAAAGCGCCGTTGTTTCTAGCTTTATCAGAAGATAACCTCTCGCACAAACTCGGGTTGCTGGTGAAGATTGGATACAAGCATAGAACAAAGGAGCTGGCGTTTGCGATGGGAGCTGTGACCAGAACAAGCTCTGACAATATGCAGAGGGTGATTGGCCTCTACTTGAGTTACGGTCTTTCTCTTGAAGACATTTTGGCTATGAGCACAAAGCATCCTCAAGTCCTGCAGTATAATCATTCTTCTTTAGAGGAGAAACTGGAGTATTTGATCGAGTACATGGGTCGTGAAGTGGAAGAGCTTTTGGCTTTCCCTGCGTTTCTTGGGTACAAGCTTGATAGTAGGATCAAGCACAGGTATGAAGAAAAGTTGAAGAGCAGAGGTGAAAACATGTCTCTTAACAAGCTTTTGACAGTTTCAGCTGAAAGATTCTCTAAGACTGCAGATACTAGTGTTGAAGTGATTTGCTTGTGATTTGAGTTTATTGAGAACTTACAATAAGTTAAAAGCTGAGAGTTTGTATATCACAGTTTCTCACTTGGATATCAAGATTAAAAACTTTATTTGCCTTGATTTTATACTGTTTAGCTAAGATATTTTATGTATATGTTCCTTAATGTTTTTTGCTCAAAGGTTAGTCAGTGCAACAATTAATGAAATGGTGAACAATGCAAAGTTGCAAAAAAAAAAAAAAAAATTTCACTACCTTTTAATAATTTTATCAATATGAAAATTCTTGTTGTGTTTTAATTTTGTTCATATGCTTCAACTCTGTTACTATACTTTTTCCAATCCAGATGATTTCCACAAAATTTGTTAATTAATTAGGATTATATTGTGTAACTTTGTGTTTTGACACGGATAGATGGGGGTTTAATAACTAAAATGGGCCTTCGCACATCTGTGATTTTACAAAAGTATTGTTTTTGAACTGGATTAGTATCCCACATCGCTGCTTTGTTGAAGAAACTAGTAGTATATGTTAGGCTGAACGAGCGATGATGGTCACGACCTTACTTGAACAGGATCTGTTCTATAGGAAGTACCTCTTAATCCTTGATTTCTAAGGAGACAGTCCCTGAACCCTGGTTGATGAACCAAGACTGTGCGATCAGAGCGTGATTAACGGCCAAGATCATCTCCGGATGTTATCCGGTGCTGTAGAGGATCGTTACCCGGCTCGGTTTAATCCTTGTCGGTGCGGTTGCATGGCGGTCTGACAGGCACCCTTCTTTTTTTGCTATGTTTTTATGGCACATTTGCCAAAAACAATTTAAAATTTCAAATCAAAATGCAAAATTATACCCCAATT